ATAGATACCAAACTATATATGAAAGCTAAAACTGATACAAAGCCGTATTCTAAGTGAAAGATTGACTTCAGCACAGTTCAATAAGACACACAACAGTAATTAATTAAAAAGTCAAATCACAGAAAGAATCGCTCTTGAAATGAGTGGACTTGAGTTATGCTCTTCAAAGAGGACCTGTTATCGTTTCCTGTTCTGTATTTTTTTCATCCTTATACAGTGGCTTTGCATGACTCAGTTCAAAATAATCCTCATTTATCTTGATGCAGTCTTATCTGCCTTCCCATTCCCTTATAGCATCCTTGTGATTGGCTGCCTCATGCAAACTGAAGATTTGAACTGCAGGTAAGCGGGACTGTGCTCACAACCAGCATCTGAAACAAAGCAAGGAGGGGGGACTGGAATTTTTTATGGCGTGTTATAAATGAAGTGCGTACTGGGACACCTGAAAACAGAAATCAGCTATAATTATAAAGTTGCTATTTTCACATTTCATTTATGTTCCAAGTTATACTGTCGATTGTGTGAAAATAAAAAGGTATAGTCAAAGCTACAGTTTCAACACAAAAATACATTTTACTGCTGATGTTGCCCTTTAGGCACCGAGTAGTTTTTGTGAAACTTGGTTACAACTGGCTAACAAACAGCTGAGCACTGAGCAAAGTGAGGAGTTTGACATGAATGTTAGCTAATCGCTATTCTGTGACATTTCCCTGTGTCGTTAATGAAACATCACTACTACAGTAAAGAGAACATTCTGGTAGAGCCTGCAGATAAGGTAAATGCAGAAAAGCTTACAAACCGACGAGATAAATTCCAGCTTGATTGCTTCCAGCTATACCTTACCATTAGCCCACCACAAACTTGCTACAAATAAAAAAATCCCTCCATTAAAATTTAAAGTAAATGGGAAAAACTGTTGTATCTCATTAAAAAGGCATTTCTGAAAGCTGGACAGAACTACTCGGGGCATGCTGTAATAACTAAATGAATTTTCAGAAAGTATTCAGGAATCTCAAGCTTTAGCTATAAGGTCAGGGTACCTTGCTCCACTATAAGAAACATTCTGGGTAAAAATAAAATTAGTTAGAAAGAGGAAGGCTGGAACTATGAGTAACCAAAGGAACTAACAGGATGTGCTCCCCGAGGCTTCTGGGACAATTTTCCATGATTGCATATAGTGATAGGAGAAAAATCAAGACCCAGAATATACACAAAAGAAAGAAATGCATTGATATTATAGACTATATTGTTAAAAAACAACAACAACAAACTTAGTGAGCTGGAGGAAAGTGTACATGGAGTATGAATGATGTAAACACCTGATGTAAAACTACAAAAAGTAGCAACGTTAGTTTAAAAAATGAATTCAATAAAGAGCTCTCTGTTGTTTTGTGACAGTTTTAGGAATGTGGCAGCACACCTGGGTTTAATAAGCCTCGTGTTCAGAAAGAATTTCTAAAAGCAGAAACTAAGGCGCAATAATAAAGAACAGATTTAGGCAGGTAGAGCTGCTGCTAATATGGTCACAAGTATTTGAGAGGAGAAAAGCCATGCCCTCATAAACGGAAATGAAATGTGTTTTTCACAGCGTTAAATGTTGAGCATTCAGAGAAGAAGCAGAGAAACTTGCCTAACCCTAACCCCCTAACCCTCTCTGGAGTGGAGTGGAAAAAACAAATAACTGGCCATTAAGCTTAAGCTGGACAAGTACTTTAAAGTCAATACTATAGTAATGTATTACTACACTTTTTTGGTGGCTATACTTCCAGAGACAGAATAAAACAGGTTCAGGAATAAAACTATATGTTTCTGATTTTAAGAAAAATGCAAGAGTTAAATCCATAAATACAAATCAATAAAAACCAATGCTGATGTTACTGTGTAGCAATTTCCTGTTAAAAATGTTCAAGAAGCATTCAACTGTTTGGCGCTTTCATCTTTTAATATTTAATGTGCTCATGTACTGTGAATGGAACCTGGCATTAAGATGGGATCCAGGGGGTACGTTCTTATTAGATTTTGCCCCCTGATAGCATCCAGACAAAGAGCAATTCAGACGACCTCTTTGAAAAAGAAAAAATCAAGGGTCCAGTGTCCCCTGCCTGGGCCCCACCCTGAAGCCAGCCTGGGGAGCGAGCTTGAGTGCCCCAACCTGGCAACATGGGCCTGCCTTTGTTTGGGTCCACCACCCGCAGGAGGTGGTGAAGTGGTTGGCTGCAATGTGTGTCAGGTAGCACTTAAGGAGGCCCTGGCGGTGGGCAGAGCGGGTATGCTTGTATCATCTTGCTGCCTGTATGTTGTTTTTTTCCCAGTAGACAAGAACGTTGCTTCCTTGTACCTTCACATTGTGGATTGAGTCCTGATGTTGTTTATACGTATGTGCCAAATGACAGTTCAGGGTGCCCAGCCTTCTTGGAGTTACTGGGTGCAGTGCTGTGGGGGTACCTCACCTCAGAGGCTTCTAAGCTCACAAGAAGAACAAAAGTAAGAATAGGAGGGGTGTGGGAGATTACCCAACTAGTCTACGTGTATTTTTTTGACTATGTTCTGTGGGGGATCCTGCGAGAAGTTCTCAGATGATCTGAGAAGATCTCAGATGATCAGCCATCAGAAGATGGGTACACTGTACTGTAGGGAGATGGTCAGCAAGAGTACTCAGGTAGGTTTTGGTCTTTAAGTAATGCTCATTTAGTACCAAGGGGCTTAAAGTGTAAAAGAAAAATCCCCCTAACCATCCCACCACCAGCAACTTGAACCGTTGACAAAAGGCAGGATAGCTCCATGCTTTCATGTTGTTTACCCCAAATTCTGACCCCCACCATCCGAGTCATCAGACCAGGCAGATTCCAATCTTCTAATGTCCGGCCCGTGTGAGTGTTGTGAGATTATTACACTGTTACATTATACCTCTGATTTAAGCTTATGAAATCATTATGTAGTTTTAGGTTGCATTATACTCCTGAGTTAGAAGGTGAAATTATTAGATTGCTTTGGCTGATTTGTATTACATTAAACTGCTGATTTACTGTGAATGAATCACACTGTTCTATGGTACTTCATACTGCTGATTTATAAAGAGAATACTGTTTGCAGAGAATCATGGCCTTGCTTTTCTGATTGTAGAAAGAACAAAACATACTGCACAGGAAGCCAAGGCCGTAACCTAGGCTCACTGAGAGAGAAAGAATGTGAATGCTTAGTTCTGAGGGGGCTGAAGCTATAAGAATGTGAGAAACGGTCAGACACTTCGAGATTTTGCCGGACACCCTCCCGTTCACATCTCCCGTCCGGACGTTGGTAATGCTGAGTGTTGTATGGAATAAAGAGAATTGTATTGATTAAAGAGGTTGTTGATTGAGCATTTATACACCGAGTGTTGTTCTTCCTTCAGCCCAAAGATCAAAGAATTGGGATATTTAACAGTGGGTGTGATTGTAGCCTCGATATTCAGTTCTTATGCGGGGCACCTGGTGTGGTCTTCTGCTGCTGCAGCCCATCTGCTGCAAGGTTTGACCTGTTGTTCATTCATAGATGCTCTTCTGCATCCCATGACTTAGCAAGTAGTTATTTTAGTTACTAGTGTCATGCTACAACTTCAAAGCAGTCTGGACTCATTAAGACTCATCAGAGCAGGAAATGTCATTTCAGTCTTGCATCATCTAATTGTGGTCAGCCTGTGAGAACTGAAGCCTCAGATTTCCTGTTCTTAGCTGACAGAAATGGCACCCACTCTGCTGCAAGCTTTGACATTTGTGCTTTCAGAGATGTTCCTCTCACCGACTGACTGTTGCCTTCTGATCAGGTTGAAGTAATCTGGCTATTCTCCTGATTTCTGGTATCAACAAGGCATTTTTTATCTTGACGACCACCACTCATTAGATATTTCCCCTTTTCCAGACCATTCTATGTAATAAACCCTTGGGATGGTTGTGTGGGACAATCCCAGTAGCTCAGCAGTTTCTGAAATACTCCAATAACCATGCTACATTCAGAGTCTTCCAGATCTTTCTGCCCCATCCTGATCCTACATTGAGGTTGTAGATAAATGCAATAAGTTGCTGCTGTGTGATTAGCTGCTGGATATTTGTGTTAATGAGCAGTTGAGCAGGTGTACTGAATAAAGAGTCATGTGAGTGTAACAATATTACCTCTTCGAGTGGAAGTAATAATTTCTCTTTTTTGTAGTGGTAATGGTCGGGTGGTACTAACAGTAATGCATATTTAAATGCCAATTTCTTGCTTTTCCCTCTGTTTCCGGTGTTTTTGGTCAAAGCAGACACTTGGCTAAACTGTCTGTCTATTTAAAGTTAATTGTTCCATCTGCTGAGTTTTAGTGTCATAAATGCCTCACAGGGGCCAAAGAGATCCATCGAGCGCTCACTCGGCTCACTTTTACTGCTGATATAAAAAGGCTTTGATAGCTACATGTTTGTATCCACAGATGGTATGTTTTCTAATTGCTACGCACTCAGCCCGATCTGACCCTGAGATCACACTTGATGTGTTAAATGTGTTGTCCAGCATTGAAACTCCAATTCATCGCAGATAAGAATCGAAACGCCAGGTTTTTTTTTTCCTACATGTGCAGCCTGAATGTTAAGTCTGCACTGCCTCTGCTAGACATGTGAACCATTACATATATTTGGCTTTATCATACTGATTATCACATGGATCATATGTGACTGTTTAATACACAAATCAGTACAGTTTGCACCAACAGGAGTTGTGTTACAGATGAAGCGTCATCTGTCTACACTAGCATCGCTTGTTTCCATCTGCTGGGCCACTATGAATTTGAATTATTAGTGGCATCTGCACATTCCCAAATTGGTAAACTGAAGCCATCTGTAATTGTATTAACATTGGGATTCTTGTGTTAGTTTATTTCCTGCCCCTTTTGATTGTAGATTAGAAAAACAAAGCGTTTAAATCATTTTTTTTCTTCTTTGACATCCTCACGATAAAATGGAGCTGTTAGAAATACAGACAAAGACTGTAAAGCTGGTCTGAATCATTTATTTTGTTTCAAGTCACACAGAAATGTTTGGCTCTGAACTACATCGTGTGTGCAGAGTTACAATGAAAGAACAGCAATGAGTTTCCAGCTGTTGCAGCTCCTAAAAGAACCGTGCAATAACCATTATTTTTAAAATCAGGACAAAGACAAACACTGTAAATGACACTATGGATAAGTCATTAAAAATATTGACATAAACGACACACCCACTGGTTAGAGTGGATTATCTGTACAGCCTTTGGCGTGACATAGCTAAGCTCTCCTGAATAACTCCTACTATTGGGTTGTCTGGGCCTCGTTCACTGACAACCTGAGAAAATCTGTTTTGAGGCAACAACGATGTTCTCTTAGCAACATGCCCCGTTAACTAAGGCACTAGTTTCCCTGTATAAACAAAGGAGGAAAAACACTTTACAGTACTCTGATACTTTTCCCAATCCAACTGTAGCACAGTCACTAGTATTCAAGTACCTGAGAGAATTGCCACATTGTCTTTCAGCACTCAGTAACAGTGGTTACACATAAGAATGCACATAGCACCAGCCGGGTACGTCTTCCTGACGAGAACACGAAACCACCCGTAAGCATCGAGAAATATAACAACTGTTCCTTCAGATACTTGTCTGGCTGTAAACGTTTAAGGCTTTAGTGATCATTTTCTTAATGTCTAGAATGGAAGGATTGTCCAACCACCATCATTGTAAACCGGCGTTCAGCAGCTCACACGTGTCCTTTTACACCTGTTTTCGTGTATCTAAATCTGAATGGGCCGATTACTACAAAATTACGGGTACATTCTTCAAATACTTAGTGCTAAAAACTTAATGTTTCATTACAGACCCTGTAATCGACATATTTTCACTAAGATATAAATAGCAACTGGGCTACAACAAAGGGTGAAGAATTAGCAAGGGTGTAACGATTACAAAGCAAAACTCGAAACAGTGATCGAATCATCGGCGATGCCGTGTTGCATGCCCGTTTTCCTGTGCTGTGATACCCATGCAGAGAAGTTAATGCCTGAAGTGTGGCAGTGTGGTGAAAGCTGTAACATTAAAAGACTGTTTCTGGTTATTTGTCCCCTTTAAAATAATATTATGTATGTATGTATGTATGAAAAGCATAAAATGAAATGTGCTTTTGGATAATCGTTACAGCCCTTGTAAATAGGTAGCTTGATCATTCTAGGAGGAAACATAAAATGCAGCTGTGACCGGCTCCCATCACAGGAGGGCACTGTTGCATTGGTAATACTGCCTTACTCTTAAACCTAACCTTGAGGACGTCTCGATAGTTTTGAGTGTCTGATTTCACAGTGTGACACCCCTTTCATAAAACTCAGTCAATTAGCAAAATATGAGACTCTCCAGGATTTACAAGAAAACATTCGATACTCTTGGAAAGTTCTTAATTTATCTTTAGAAACATAGCACCAAAGGTTTAAAACCATATTCTTTGTTTCATTTTCGGTTCACCGTCCTCAATTTTTAAGACGGCGCGTTCAACACAAGCTCCCGTCTCTTCAGCTGGTTGGATGGTGGCCAATGTCGAGTCTCCTCTGTGCTGATCCCCTTTTTCGGACAGCTGGCGCAGAACTGACTACACTTCCCAGAGTGCCCGGGGTCTGAAAGAAAGCCTTTGAAGAAGATGCTGGGGTTTCCTTGGGCGTATGTGGAGTCTGTAAAGAGACAGAATGCATTTAGGGAACATTTAGACAACCCAACGCATAAACAGCAGCCACTGCCAGCAGTAGATGCAAGCTCACTTGCTGAAAGGTCAGTGGAAGTCAGTAGACTGAATATTATCTAAGAAAATGGGTGGGTAGACGTGACTCTACACACTGAAAGTGAGAGTGGGATTAATGCATCATTACAACGTGGTCATTAACTTGTCCTATTGTTTATAACATCACGTGAATTTGCTGCCCAGTAACTCTATCAGAGCTAAACCAGCATCACTACACTGGTCTTTGCAGGCAGTAAAGTTCATTCCCATTTAACAAGCTGGAGATTAATCAGTCTTAACTGCTGTGACACAAAGTGTCCAGATGAGTAAATGAGGGTAAACCTTCCACAAAACAGATGCTGCACTTGCTCTCGTGTCAAGCTGTGTTGTGACATTTTCCAGTGCCTGATACGAGAAAGGTCATGTTTCATTATGAAGGCTAATTACATTGATGTATTTTAGGGCAGACAGCTGTGTGTGAGAGAGAGCAGGGTTACAGCAGTACAGTCAGTTCTTACCAGTGGTTCTGGCGTGTTGATGCTGATGGTCTGTCGTGGTCTCGAGGGAGAATGTGGCGTGCCAGCTGACGACCTGTAAAGCCCGCTCTGTTCTGGAGTGGACGGCGGTGGAACCGGCACCACACTATACGGCGCCCCCCCCACCATGAAGTGGGCAGGTGACATCATGGCAGGCAGACCAAAGCTCAGTTTTGTGTGAGCATCAGAGCCTTGCTGCTGTAGACTGCCGGCCACCAGGGGGTAATGGGAGAGGGCAGCAGATGGTACCAGGACATAGGGCAGTGCCAAGGTGGGAACACTGCTGGGAGGAAGTGCTAGACTGGCCGCTGGTTGTCCAGCTGAGAGCAGGAAGTTGAGGCCATTTAATCCTAGAAAAGAGGACAGGAGACCGATTAAAAGGTTTGAAGGATTTCTTTTTCTTCTTCTTCTTTTTTTTTTTTTTTTTACAAAGCAAAGATAAATAAAATTCAGTTCCCAAATCCTGGGAATAAAGCGCTCTGGATTTCCAGCACTGAAAGGACCTGCTGCAGGGAATATTCTCAGTAAAAGAGTGAAAGGGTGCAAATCATAGTGTCCCTCTACTATCACAACAAATCATAGTTAACATCTTGCTCTGCGTGCTGCTAAAACAGTGCATTACCTGCATTGTTGGGGACATAAAGGTAGTGCGACGGCTGAGCGTGCTCACTGCTGGTGTTGCCACCCCCACTCTCGCCGATCACCTGCTCTCTGCAGAGGCCTGCTGCTGCTGCACCAGCTTGCGAGCACTCTGCTGTTTCCCTGCAAGCTTCAGCTCGAGTCTGGAAAGAGCAGGAATGACATCTGATGTTACAGCCTTATGATCTGCATTTGTTACAGTCCTTAAAACTCAGACTATAACACGTCTCCCCTTCTAGTAACAAAGTCAAGTCATGTTCCTGGCTTACGGTTTATTTTCTCAGGCAACCTTTTAAAAAGACCAACCTAGCATGTGACACCGAACCATCCAGTTACTTTGATTTTATGTATCCTGATTAACTGCACCAGGTTTTCAAATGATCAATTATCTTATACTCTACTGAGATGAGAAGTCTTTAATTACACCACACAAGACTTATCCTGATCAGTGAGCATGGCACATTTTCCATTTTCAGTTTAACTGTCTGCCGTGGTGAATTACTAACAGGATTTTCTGACTGTCAGAATTACGGCACCGAACCGAATAATTAGCTTGGAGTTAGTTTTTAACTGGAACAAGAATAGCAATTAGCAGCAGAAATTAAAATCCACATCGCCACAGAATACCATCTCACCTTTTCACATTTCTCTAACGCAGAATTTCCCTTCTTTTTAAGTACCATCTCCTCCTCCTCTCTTTCTTCCTTCTTCCTCTTCGTTGCCTCCAACCTGGGTGAGGTGTGACCTTCAAGCATCTGGTTTGGCGTTTCTGGCGGTCTGTACAGCATGACCACGGAGGGTTGGGACAGGCTGGGCAAGTAGGCCAAGCAATGGGAAGACGGGGAAGCAACAAACAGGTGCTCCGGGTGGGGGAGTGGTGCCAGAAGGGTGGAGGACGGGGAAAGGGCAGTACTGCTGTTGTGCATGAGCCGAGTCTGCGGTGGTGTGCCGGGTCGGTTGCTGAAAAGGGGGGGGGAAAGAAAAGTAAGCTATATTTCTCCTGCTACTTGTAGACTGAGTTTTTGCCAAGAATCTGATTGAGAAACATTTGTTTATGACTACAAGCATTAGATACTGCAGTGTTCGACTAAAGTGGAACACTGCTTCTCAAGCCTTAGCTTCTAAACATTTTGACCAAATTGTTCCTGATACAGAGGAACCACAGAAAGTTAAGTCACAAATCAGTCTCTTGCACACGTCAGTAGCCCCCTATCTATCTCAGATAGCAGGCTTACATGTGCTTAGGCTTAAAACTTTCCTTTTAGATAAAGCATATAGTTAAGCTGGATCAGGTGACCCCGAATCCTCCCTTAGTGACCCTGCAATAGGCCTAGGCTGCTGTGGACTTCCCATGATGCACTGATGTGTATTATGGGAAGCCCATGGGAAGATGTGTTGGTTATGATCAATGTGTTTTGTTTTGGTCCCATCTTCCTGCCATCACCCTCAAGTGCTCACAGCGGTTGGCTGCCCCTCGCTGGTTCTGCTGGTTTCTTCTTGTTAAAAGGGAGTTTTTCCTTCCCACTGTCACCATGAGCTTGCTCAAAAGTGGGTTGTCTGACTATTGGGGTTTCTCTCCATTATTGTGAGGTCTTTACCGATATTAAGCGCCTTGAGGCAACTGTTCTGATTTGACGCTATATAAATAAAAGTAACTTAAATTGAAGGTGAAGGCATATTTGTAATGGAGCATGAGCTTTACGCACATGACTAGATATTTGAAGTTAAAGGGTAAAGTGTGCAGGATGCAGACATAACAAGATGAAATAAAGTTTTTTTCTTAAAACTTTGCTCTCGCATCAGAACACTTTTTTTTGTTAAATAGCATAACATTACAGGGTCCTGGCCATAACAAAGCCTCCAGTGGCAATGAGTGAGTAAATGACAAATAAGCAGGTTTCAGCAAACTGTACAAACTGTGCAGTTTTTTAAGCACAAGCTTTATGGTCCTGAATCCTGCTTTCCATGGTTTGAAATGCAGGTAAAAAAAAATTCCTGACCTGATCAAAAGGTTACTGTGTTAGAGCTGGGTCTGTGTGCCCCTACAATATCTCAGCTGAAACGCAGACTTGAAACTGGCCACAGGCATAAACTTCTAGCTCTCATCCTGTGGGCTACCACTGCCCCCGGTGCACTTTTGCCTAACTTCATTTTTAAAATATTCCTTTTCAACACACACTTCCATGTCTTATTATCTTACTCCCCCACAAAACACTTAACAGCCACAGCCTTGAGGCAGCTGTGGTTTGGCCACGAGTAGTTTAGTTAATAATAGGAAACAACATCAACTACTGTGTACTCCATGTATGCCGCCAACTTATACACTCATAGGAGACAAAAACTATTAATGTCCACAGAGTCAGCTCCTGTTACATGTAGCCTTGAGCGAAACACATCAGCCAAATCAAACACTGGCACTGAATGTAAAACATAACGAATAAGAGAAGGTTGCAAAATAGACTCTGTAAGGGAGAGGGCAGCATCTTTTAACCTGACAACAGAGATGACTTTGAATGTGTCATGTATAAAACTCAAACAAAAAACTTTTGGTTTAATAGTAACACTTCAGATGGAGAAAGCTGATCTTTGAGATGACCCAAGTATCTGTGTGTTAGCGTTTACTCACTCAGCATTACTTCCAAACTGCAGCTGACACGCTGCACTGTTGCTTGTAGTCCTTCTGGAATAATCCACAGGCTGGTTTTGCAGGGCTGCAGCATAGAGACAACAAACAGACAGGATATTGAAAAAGCTCTATGCCAGTGGTTCTTAACCTTGTTGGAGGTACCGAACCCCACCAGCTTCATATGCGCATTCACTGAACCCCTCTTTAGTGAAAAATAAAATGTGATTTTTTTTACTGGTGCACAAAATGAGCCATGCATGTCATGGCGAAGGCTCTGCCGAACCCCTGAGACCGACTCACCGAACCCCTAGGGTTCGATCGAACCCAGGTTAAGAACCACTGCTCTATGCTGTTCCGCAGAGTCAAAGCGCACGACTTGCAGATTTAAAAAAAGGCTCGGGGATGCTTGGCCGTCTCCCGCCACCCGATTGGAAACAAACAACTCCCCCAAAAATAAAATCTCTTACCGGTTACTTCACGTCTCGGGCTGCTGGGTGCGGAGCTGACCTGCCGCTGGACTGCAACAGATGTTGGCGTGATGCTGAAGGAGGCATGACGTGCCATTTTTGCTTTTCTGAGCTCCTGTCCTGGCTGTGCAGACTCAGATGAAGCGATGGCTGCTACATTCAAAGTGTTTCCTACAGGTAGATGGATGACGACTGATTTAGGGTAAGAGCAATGATGACAAACGCAGTTCTTAGATTGACAAAGGTCTGGACTGTCTTATATTTTCAAGTTACTCTAGCAGAGTTCACTGAAGTCATCTTTAACTCTCACCAGCATTCACAGAGCTGCTGAATTCAACCGGGCCGAGCCACTTGAAGGCCGGCTTTCTGCCCCTCTCCTCTCTGACATGAACCTTCTTTATGAGGCTGAGGCTGGTCAGCACGTTGGCAATATCATACAGACGCCGCACCTTAGCTGGAGATCACACAGACACAGTGTTTAGTTTGGTGAAATACTGTTTCCTGGAATCTATACACGTCACTATACACGTTGCAGCACTTCTGGATTTCTTACTTTTGTACTTGCTGTGACTTGATGAGTCCTGACTCTCCTCGATGAGGACCTTTGCTGCTGCATCCAGGGTAACAGTCTGAGTTTTGGACACCAGGAAAAGCATGACAAACTTCTGGCTCATGATGCGCAGAGATTTGTCTTTCCTGTTGCTACCGGCTGCAAAGACAAGCAGAAGAAACGGACAGTGTAAAAAGCTACTGCTTTCTTAATTAGCAGTGAAAATCAGCCCACTAAAAACCAGTGAATCGTATGTTTAATTACATTTTATTCATTAATAACAGGCACCAAAACTCCAAACAGAAATTCAAAGTACTTGTCAACATAAACTTGTTTCTTCTGTACATCCTCAGTCTGAATGAAAACATTTCAGAGACGTGAAATCAAACCTGAAACCTCAGTACAACTTTTACAAACTAGATCTTTATTAGAATCCAGCCACATTATAAGTCTGCAAACGTACAACCTCTTAATGACAAGCTGTGAGCAGACAGAGGCAGCGTCGCTACGGTAACCAGGCTTGAATCCATTCCTGTGGGTTTAAGGCCTTATTCAGCTTTAGTGTTAAGCATTTGCCCGTGAAAATAAGCCTACACCTAAACTGTTACATGCAGGCAACTGAAGTGATACTTAGTCTAATGAAGACTACGGTTAACGTCTAATCTTTATTTGGAGCCAATATGGAAGAAAAGGCACACTCTCCTTATAGTGTTCATTTTAAACACTCAAAACTCTTCATCTCCAGTCTTATTTTTCAGTTTATTACCGCTTCCAGCATCTCCTTCCCCCCCGTCATCCTCTCGGCCCGGTCCGGTCTCCCTGGCCTCGTTGGCCTGCTCCATCTGGAGGTGGTAGCCCTGCTGTCGGCCCTCACACTGCAGCTCCTCCAGGGTGGCTTCCAGCCGCTGACGACCGTACCAGGTGTAGCTGTTTTTGGCTATCCGCCCCACAATCGTCAGGGACTCCAACACATTCACGATGTCGTAGATCCGCCGCCGTTCCACCCCTGACAGGATTACAGCAACATTTCTCTAAAACATGTGCACGATTTGAGCAGCAGTCATTCCCAAATTCAATAGCAGTGTTTTCCTGGCCCCATGAAGAGTTTACAGTGAGACAAATTGTAGTCATCTCCTTCTCCTGTGTCCAACTGCTGCTGCTGCTCTCAAATTACTGGTTCTTACCCAGATTGGCTGCCACTTCATCCAGCGAGATCCAGATGGGGCTGTGAAGCGGTGGGTAATCAGGATAAAGGGCAAGGAACTTCTGGCAAAGCAGACCCAGACTTTTCTGCTTTCTGCTCGGCTTTTTCTCTGCATCGTCCTCTTCATCAGCGGCTTCAAACTGGACAGAGATCAATGCCGTTGTCTTTTGGATTAGTCAACCAATCCAACAATCCACAGCTTAAATGACTAGTCTTTAAACAGGACTTCAATAAAATATATTTTTCGGAGAATATTAATTTAAACTACAACACAATAAATCCAATCTGTGTTAAAATGTCCTTTTAAAACAAACAAACAAAACACCACACCTGACAAGAATCTTCCACCTCTGGATCCTCCACCACATTATCTGGGCTCGCTGGCTGGTCTTTATCATTCTCTATTGGTCTAAACAGCACCTTTTTCATCTCTCTGTCCCGGATGTCTGGGCTCGCCGCGCTGATCAGCATCTTCAGGTTAGCCGTTGGTGTCCAGGGTTCGGTCAGAGACGTGTGTTTGATGGGGGTAATGTGGGCGAGCTCAGAGGGAGCACCTTTTCTGTTGATCAGCAAAGTAGGAAGGGTGGACTCTGCAGATTTTAGCGGTGTTGATTTTCTCTTCTCTGCACACATGTTCTCCTGTGATGGAGACAGTTATGTGATCGAATTAGTGCAGGTTTGCCTTAATAAAGGCTCAAATATCCTCTCATACAGAATGAATTGCAAAGGGGTCATTTTATAGCAAAGAATGATGAAAGAAAAACATGTAATCCTGGTTGAATTTATTCATACCAACTCATCCACTATATAAACACACATCTCCAAAGATCCGAATAAGCCATCCATATGCTGAATCTGAGACCGGAGGCCTGCTCCTGAATCTGGAGGAATCAAGCAACTCACACTGATTTGTACAACCCTCAAGATCTTATTTAGCACTGTAGCCCACAGCCCTTGCTGCTGAAAGCCAAAAGCAATAAGCTCTCACGTGACTGAACACAGCGCTCTGATTGCGCTGATTTCAAAGCTTTCTTTCAGATGAATCTTATAAAACCTGCCTCACCTGATTTAAAGCAGGGTGCCACCTTAGCCTACCTTTTGTTCCCCGCGAGCCCCATCCTCCTCCTCCGGCACCACCGTTGAACTCTTCCTTGGACTTGAGAGGTCTTTCAGTGCGAGGCATTGAACCTCCATCTGGGAAAAATGCGTTCCAAAGTAAAGACAAATATTGAGAATGGGAATTGTAAAGTTACACTTAAAAGTAAACCCAGATCCGTGGTCAGCTGAATTTGGCGCAAAGAGCATCGGCTAACTAGCCTTCATAAAGCTAACTGCGCTGCTCTTCCTCAACCCTGTAACTTTACAGCTGAAGTGCCGCATTAACTTTTTAGCTGACAGTAATTAGTTTACAGCTACAGGTATTAATATACAACGTTAGTAGAATGTTATTTCTAAGTTGCAACACGAGTTGCGGCCGTAAATTATTTTATGCAAATGGTCCACAGCTTTAGCCGTTGCTGAGCCTGTGAATAGAGGTAAATGCGTTTCTGATGGATGTTATAAGTCAGTAAGACTTAGCATTAATTAGTTACCTAGCCAGGGACACTGTTATAGCTGTGTTGCAGAAACCCTCCGGAGGGAAATCACCACTCTTTACCTTCGCTGTTGAATGAATGAAATCGTCAAGTGTGGCTCTGCGTCCCCGTTTTACACACTTGTCAGGGCGCCGCTCCTTCAGACCGACATAGCAGTTTATTTCCCTCTTCAGAAAGAAGCAGGCAGTCCTTCTCAAATCCTTTCTTCAGACTCCTGTTCAGCTATACTACTCCTTGGAGAATCCAACATCACCCGCTCAAGCTTGTTTTCTGGCGCTCTCCTACAGCTGGGTCACTCAGCCAATCAGCGGTCAGCTGACTGACTCCGTCATACGGCTCCAGCCACTCAGTGCTATTGTACTCGGGTGCGCGCCTCAGATAATACCAATGAGGGACCGGACGTCCACGCCTCCAGATCTGTGTTGGCGGGGCAACCGGCGCGTTTATGTTCACGAAGATGGTCATAAGAAGATGTCTCACTCTAGTGATTTTATTTTCCTACATGGAACCTGAAGTTCTGGCTGATTAAATTTGAAGGTGTTTGATGTATTCTAAAAGTTTTTGTTAGGTTTTTAATTAAAAGAATTTACACGACTCGAAGTTTAGACAGCGAGTAAATTTGATGGGGAAAGTACAAAAGAACAACAACAATAATAATAATAACAATAAAAAGCCCAGCCTTCTCACTACAGTGTGGAAATTCGTGGGTACCCTGTGCTCATGGTTTGCGATTTCTTTAGTAAGTATTTGGTAATACCTAAAATTTATTTAAAATAAAAACTGACATTTATTTCAGAGCCTGTTCCTTTTAGGCATACTGTGAGTAGCCGACACTTGAGAGGTCAAGGAGTTACTTCTATAGACGATCTTTGTTTCTCAGCTGAGAAGTTTGGCTTGTCTGCGTCTTCTCCCACGGTCCTAGCAGCGGCAAGTAGAACTTTTTTTGCGCCTACAAAGGCGCTTTTAATATGTTCAGCTTAATCACTCCGGCGCTAGTCTCTGTGGACGGCTGTAATTAGCTGATCAGCTGCTGAAACAGACAGATGGGAGGCGGCGGAAGGGGGAGGAGCGCGAGTGGCGCTAACAGTACCTGGGCCATAGCGGGAAAAGCGGCGGTGGGAAAGTGGGCTCACTTTCTAGCAGCCGGGATCCCGCCCTGTATGCAAACTGGCAGAGGACGAGCTCTCAGTCACGAACCCCAAATGCTTGCATAATAGCCCCCAATACACACAGCATGCCGCCAGCTCCCAGTCAGATGTGAGCTACAGCAGAAAACGTGTAACCTCAAAGGTGTTTATCTCAAAGCGCAGGAAACGTGCCTGTATTTCAAGACTGTAGGGTTGCTAAATTTGAGTTATGTCTATCACAGAAAAGGTCAATGACAGTGGCTTGCAAATAATGACTGTAGCAGACTGCTTTTCTCAAGTTTGAAGAGATGAAGAGATAAAACAAATAATTTAATTACTAAACTACATGGTACATCTGGGGACAAAAATGTCGGTGTCCAATAATTTTGCTGGATTTCTAGTGCAGTGCAAGAATTTGTGCTTTTTATGCATCAATTTACAATTTGTTTTCTCGCTTTTTAAGGGAAAACATAAACCAGGTAACAATTCAAATGAATGTAACATATCGATCTCAGGCATTCTGTGGTTTCTCAAATAGTTGTTAGTTACTACTTTCACTGTCACTCACAGACAGCATGCTGTCACCAAAAAACAAAGAAGAAAATCTTGCTGTCATTCAAATTCACGTCATTCATGGATAAAAACTCGCTTTTCCTCCCCCGAGAGGCTCTAGGGCAGAGATTATATCTCTTGGGTTGGCTTGTTAACACACTGGTGTTCCCCCTAAAAAGCTGGATGAAGTGGCTGGGGAGAGGGAGGTCTGGGTGTTTCTGCTTAGACTGCTAACTCCTATCACAGGGACCTGGGTAAACTTCAGATAATGGACGGATGGATAGTTACTTGTGACAAAATGACTACTGCACACTCTGTTAATCATTTTCTTTGCAAAATGACACAACGATGATTACCTTTATTTATCCTGGTGCTACTCTGATAAACCTATTCCCTCATTTTGACTGTAGCAATGAATTGAAGGCCAACAGTAAAAAAAGCAACCAGTGTTTCTAACTGATCCAGTTGCATTCAAGCCTTTTGTTCTGCTGGTGTTTGGCTTGATTTGAGGTCAGCAAGTTCAGGCATGTTCTGTGGTGGTTGTTAATGCAATATAGTCAGAGAATTGTTTAAATTCAGTAAACGAAACAGCCCCACTCAGGACAGCATATACATTTACTATGGGAACACAGTAACCATTAGACTGAGAGTAAACAACAGGCTAGTGGTGGAGATTTCCTTTAAAGCTCAAAGGTAAAATCCGTTCTGTCGGACTCCCTCCACTTCTATCTGTTTCTGCCCTTTATTACCTTCCTCTGACTTGTTGTCACTCTGACAGACTTGTTTTCTTGTCCCAGCTTTGCTGCTCTGACCTTTTATTAAACTACTCCCCTGGAAAACTTGTTACAGTTCACACTGATCTCAGTAAAGACATCTGACACTGGCATTTAGGAAAGGTTTCAGACATAATCCTAAAAAAGCATCACCAGTAAACACACAAGAAATAATTTTGGAGAATGTTACTAATAATGGAGGGAATCACAACCTGACATGACAGGAACAACATACAGTCATGTGAAAAAAATGTTTTCACAGCATTCTGCAGTCCTGTGATAAACTAAGTACAGCTTGTTATTTAATAGCTCGTAGAACCACATTTAGCAGCAATAACCTGAAGTAACTGTTTTCTGTATGACTCTATCGGTCTCTTCAACGAGGTTTGTAGGTGTCCGTTTGTGTTCAGCTCTCTTAGACTTTGACTGGATTATTGCTTCCCCTTAATTCTTTTCTTTTTCTGACATTCTGTTTTAGGTTTGCTGCTATGCTTGGAGTCATTGTCCCGCAGCATGACCCAGTTTCTGCCAAGCTTTGGCTTCACATTTGACTCTAGAATACTTTTTAATAAAGAGCAGTTTGCGATTGATGTAATGACTTCACAGTGTCCTGTTCCTGTGGCTGTAAAACAAGCCTGAATCCTCCCTTAGTTATGCTACTATAGGTCTAAGCTGCTGTTCCCATGATGCATGACGAGTGTTTCTTCTTCACTCACCTTTTTTCACACACTGTTTTCATACACCACTCTGCATTCATTCATTAGTTATTATTAATCTCTGGCTGTCTTCCACAGCATGTCTCTTTCCTGTCTTTCTCACCTCAACCCCAGCTGGTTGTGGCAGATGGCCGCCCCTCCCTGAGCCTGGTTCTCCCAGAGGTTTCTTCTTTTTATAAGGGAGTTTTCTCTTCCCACTCTCACCAGTGCTTGCCCATCAGATGATTGGGGTTTTCTCTATTTTCTCTGTATTATGGTAGTGTCTATACCTCACAATATAAGGTGCGTGGAGGTAACAGTTGTTGTGATTTGTGCTATATAAATAAAATTTAATTGAAAGTTGGTGATTTGATCGTTGGTTGCTCCAGTATGTATACCAAATTAATCTTGAGCAAACCCAAGTTGCTCTCCAGTGTGTTGCAATCTAACAGGGTGTTAATGTTAGATAGAAAGCACTTAGGCATAGAAAAACGTGCTATATACAAACCAGTCTTTTTCTAATTGTACTGTCATAACTCTAACATTGTTGTGTGTTGTGTTGGCAGCGAGCTTTTTAAAAGCAGCCTGCAAACTAAAACAAACCACAACACCCATGTAACACATTATTTTCTGACACTCTCATTAACTGATGACTGACTAGATAAATCATTAATCATCATTGCCTGAAATGGCAATGAGATACTGCTAAGATGTATTCTTTACATTAATGAAGAACATTTCACCCATGGACCCCAACAAAGAGCACATTTTATTTCAATTCAATTCAATTCAATTTATACAGCACCAAATCTCAGCAACAGTCGCCTCACAATAATACATACAGAGAAAAACCCAACAATCACATGACCCCCTATGAGCACTTTGGCGACAGTGGGAAGGAAAAATTGGTCTTTAGCCAGAACGTGATGTTTCTCAAACCTTTCTGTCGAATTCTCACAAATTGTTCCTTACACACACAAATCTGGCATTCATCAGTATTTGGTTAGCTGAATTCAAGAGCAATGCAAACAAATTAAGAAGTGCTTTACTCCATGCAGTACATGCAAATGTTGAAATTCCCGATGTCTTAGGAAATGGAAACCGCATTTTTAAACATTTAAAAAAAAAACAACAACGTATATTTCATTCACTGCTTACATTTTTCTAAGATGCCAACAAAAATCCCCAAAGTGTTAAATAAGAATATGGAATTAGGAATAAACTCAAAGAACATAAAATGTAGTAGTACACTTAATTTATCCTTACAAATCGTCATGGCAACACTAACTTTTTTTGAAACACTTGATAGCATCAAATTTAGAACAAAGAAACTTTGCACTTTCTTCGTTTCAACATTTCAGTGCTATTGTTACAATATACTGAGAAAATGTGTGTTTAAGGAGTTGGATCCTTCTGTGTTTGTGTTTTCAGCTGAGCAGGCTGTGATTTGTCCGTATTAGGCTGTCGTCAGTTGAGTTTGTTGGGTCTGTAGCGGCCCAGCGTTTCTCTCTCCATTTGCCTTCGCCGATCTCTATGATAAGGCTCACAGTGCAGTTTACCATGCTGAATTTCTCCAAAACGGAACTGGGAAATTTGGATTTGAGGTCAGGGGTTTTAGTTTCCCTTTTCATGAATATTAGGATATCATTGTTTCTATATTATAGGTAAAACGGCTGACATCCCCCCCTTTTGTTTAAAGTTCAAGTTTGAGAGTTTAAAGTAGTTTGTCCACCAGAGGGCACTCTGCAGCTTCCCTGTTGGCAACGCACCTGTTTGGACTACAAATACAACAACCAGCTGATCGGAGCAGAGTCGGGCACAGCATAAAGGAGTAATCCAAGACTTGACATTGACATTGTTGTATTGTCTTAACAAGGACCCATAAATAACTACGCATAACAAATTCTATGGAAATTTTATGCATCTGAAAGAAAAATTAAACAGATATCTCCAGACACACTGGACATTTGAATTAACCAGTCGGGGCATTGGGATGACTGTTGCATCCCAAAATCTTAGAGTAGACATGCAGTTATACAAAAATAATGGAAAGTCATCAGAGGCCACAGATGTTACAGTCTTTATTGCATTAGTTCCATTTCAACTGTCTGTAAAAACTAAAACACGAGGAGGCCAGAGGCCGGTTTACAGACAGATGATACATTACACAACAT